TGAGTTGGACTTCGTCTACCTGTGAGCTGCAGGGGCCGGGCGGTGAAGTGTTGCTACTATCGGTCAAGAATGGATGTCCTGAGATCGGCGCGAAAGCAGCAGCCAAACTTATTCAGCAGCTTGAGGAGCAGCAGCTGCCCCAGTTGGGGATTCCGCCACCCAGACCTCCGTCAAGGCCTTGCAGACCTTGAAGGCTAGCTGGTGGGCTTATCTGAGGGAGTATGTCAGGACTGGGAATCGTGCTGATGCTTATTTTGCCATTGATAAGGCCCCGTTCTTCAATTACAAGGAGGAGTTGAAGAATCTTATGGTTACAAGGGTGCCAAAGGTGGGCGCATGGGAGCTTATGAAAAACCTCAAGGTGAATCGCCGCGGAAGAAAGAAGCTGTTGAGGGCTGAGTCGTGGATCTTACGCTGGGATCCTCCCACGGTGGATCGCTCCAAGGATGCGCTAAGGCATTTGTCCTATGTTGGTGGCACTGTTTATGTGGACATGAACACCCTCTTGGTTGAGAGCCAGTTTGATGAAGTCTGGAAGGTGGTTCAGTGGGCTGTTCTATCAGGCCGTGTTGGGACTATAGTTTCCAGGGACTGCGGAGGCACTCCTTTGGACAAAGTTATTGGAGCCCCTCACAGAAGCAAGGTTCACTTCCTTCATGCTCTGGCTTCGGCGTCCCGTGAATACCGTGGTGGTGGAATGGTGAAGCTCTATGTTGAGGATTTGGATAGAGTGAACAAGATTGGGGATGTGGATGCTGTGATAGATCCTCGGGGCCCCCTTGGACTAGATGCAATGATTCCCGGGACTATTTGGACGAGATGGGTCTCATGGATGTTTCAGTGAGCCGGTTTGTTGGGGAAAGATGCCCTCGCATAGCCAAGATGAATAGTGAGGCAGCCTGGAGGCTGCATGTTGCCAGCAACCACCAGCCTTTCAGGCGGGACTGCGCGGTCTGTGTGAGGAACACCGCGGCGGGGCATCAGCATAGATCTACCCTGCACCCGATGGCCTACAGCTTGAGTGTGGATGTGGTTGGGCCTTTGAAGGGTTATGGTCGTTCCCCCGACGGTAAGTTCTTTCGGTACTTTGTCATCGGAGCGATGAGAATTCCGAGGATTGATGGTGCACATGGTCATGGAGAAGTTCGAGGTTATCCTGTTCCCCCCGAGTTTGAGGATGAAGAG